AGAGCTGGGGGAGGGGGGGGGGTGGGGTAACGATGGATAAGCATCCCATCCAGTGAGGAGTAGTAATACTCCTAGTTGGCTTCATGAAACTTGGAAACCAGGACAAGCGGAACTATACAAGCACTCGTCCTCAACTAGACTAGTAGAACTGTTGTGACTCAAGTCACATTTTCAAGTAAAGCGATCACATTTACAACGATTTATGATTTACGTCCTGCAACTAACGTGTAAGGTAATCACACTTTCGTATGAGATGGTACCTCCTGCGTCTATGCATAACCATAAGGCTCTATTGACCTTCAAAATAGGAGTATAGGGAAAAGAAACTAGAACCATCTAAGACGACAGTGATTCAGCTTTGCAGGTAGACATCAAAGGTCATGAAAGTTCTGTGACGCTCGACTAATATAGCCCTTCAAATTCTTACAAACAAGAAAAAAAACCAGGTAATTGAGCCGACAAAGAAAAAGCAGAAACCTTTATGACGAGTGAATTAGACGGTTTGGTCCATGAAAGTGTCTAATGTTGAGCTCTCACAAACAAAAGAGGACAATAGGAAAATAGACTTTTAAACCATCAATTCTGGAAGGCTGTCTGGAGTACGATCTCGATTTATATAGAGCAATTGTTTGAACTAAATACAAAATCCAATCCACAGTTAAATATTATCTTTGAATGGTTCCTATATTGATTAAGCGGCGGAATTGGTGAAGAGTGCTAAAAGGGAAAGCTTATTCACGCGGGCGCGCGATCTCGATGTTCCAGTCCCCTCGCACAACAAGCAAAAGGTGCCGGCGGAAAGTATCGCATGACGACTTCAACAGCCTGGGGGGTATTAACCACGTTAAGAGGGAATATTAATTTACGATCGTGTTCAAAAACTCCTCAAGTGTTTTTTCATATTTTTTCTACTTTTTTTTTCGTTATATAAAGTTATGAAGTATAACAGACTTTTTTCCCGGTTGTTCAGACGCGTCAAGACACATCGTTGATTTAACGGTCGCCGGAAATTCATGTTGATGTGATGGACTATTACTTCGTTCTGGTGAGGTCAAACCCTAAAGAAGGACAAGATCACGTCAAGAGCTTAAAGATCCCTTACGAAGATCGTAAGGGTGCCAAAGCAAATTCGTACTACGTGGAAAGAGCCTTTGCTCGTTTTGTTTTGTTTTGTTTTTCTTTTATATTCAAAAAGCCATAGACCACGGCTTGCTGTGATAGGCTTTATTCTGACAGTTTCCACGAGGTCATGAGGAAAAAACCGCACCGTGTTGTCACGCCAGAAAATGGGACTACGCTTTTTAAGCTAGTGGGAAAACTGTTAAAAATGAGCTGTCGAATCACGTTTTAGGTCAGGTATTAACTATGGGGTCAGCGATTAAAAATGAACCAAGGTATTAAAAACTTCTTAACAAGTTTGCCGAAATAAGTAAACACATATCTCTACGGAGGATGAAATATCCCTTCAGAGGTAAGGCTGGTGTTGATTATCAAAACAATACTGTTATTCAAGCAGCAATCTTAGATTAGTTAAGCGGTTCTACAAACAATTAGACGTAGCCCTTGGCTTTTCCATTTAGGATCCCTGCCGTACAAAGCAACAGGAAAGTTTTTGTAAGAGTCACTTTCACGCATTTGTGAGGTTTTCCACGCATGGAGAGAAGAATATTTTTCCGGTTCGTTTAACGCTCACACACGCAAGTCGTTCAACATCACAATACCTATGTTATTGTTAGGCTACTCGACTGTTCAAGGTGACATCCAAAGTTGCGATCGAACAATTTTTTACCTCTATTGAGGGCATTTTGAATTAAGGAGACTCTGATTAGATCGACGGAATTTGCAAAACACACAGAGGCATGGCAGATAATATGATAACACAGCAGGGCAAAAGAAGACAACTTCTTTCAGAGACTGATGCTATTGTTTCTCCACCAGGATCGTCTTTGTATCCGAAAACTGCTGTTATTTCAAGAGCAGCTTCTACGCCGGAAATATCTCTGGAAAACCGCAACTTCATTCGAGAAAATTCCACTAAGGAGAAAGACTCATGCAAAAGAAAATACAGCCGCCCACGGAGTGTCAGCTTCCACCCAAACATACGACTGTATTACGCCGCGACTACGAACGATTTAGACGAAGTGAAGATGTTGATCGAGTCAGGAATGGCTGATGTAAACGCGAGTAATCCGGCCGAGGGTGCTACGGCTTTACACGGGGCCTCATACGAAGGAAGCCTCGAGTGTGTCCGGTACCTTCTAGAAAAAGGTGCCAACGTGAACCTTTCGGACGATGATGGCTGGACACCGCTACATGCGGCAGTTTGTGGAAAGAAAAGGAAATGCGTTGATTTGTTGTTAAAAGCGAGCTGTGACCCTTTTGCTGAGACACTCGATGGTTTAACGCCATTTCAGATGGCCATCGAAATGGGCAGCGATAAACTACTCAGACAATTCGTAAAGCGATTTAGTTCTTTGATGAAAGACGAATCTGTTCGGGAGTCTTTGGTATGAATTTTACCGTCGCATCTCTAAAACAGCTAAGAAGACAAGAGGGGTATTTATATCCACCATGTAGAAAATTTCGTTTTTTATCACAACTAGACGGGGAACAGTATCAAAAATTAATTAATTTGACGTCGGCCTCTTCTGAGTTCAATAAAAAGATTTAGCTGCATTTTTCTGCACAATTATTTTTTTTTCCATTTCTAACTCAAAAAATAACCTTCCACTCATAGCCTTAATGGGGAACTTTCCACAAGGCTCGCAATAAAGAGTACATTTCACCAAACGGTGCTGTGCTTCAAAGTTAACACGTAGATTGTTGATGGTTATCTTCGTGTGGTGTCGAATAATGCAGTCTGCTGTCATTCACGAGAGATGCACGCTTTGACAGATCCTGAGCTATTCAAAGTGTTTCATGCGTGGTTAATTCGTTGTAATGGAGAGGTATTAGACTAAAATATCACGACCTTTGTTAGTTCTAAATCATCTGGGAATCATTAGCGATAAGTGGAACTCTTGGATAGAGGCCCTCAAATCGATCACGGTCAAGTGTTTTCGCGAACCTGTATACACGTTTGGATTATACACTCGAGGAAGGGTTAGCAACGACATCGCATGAGGGAAACATTTTTCTAAGTCAGACACCAAGCAAACTTCTTAAAAGTGCAGCTGACGCCAAGTGCCACGCTGAGCCATGAATTAAGGTAATAATCGGTAGGAAATTGAGTCTGCTTCACAGTTTATCCGGGTCAGAAACAAGATGAGAAATAAATCGGTTTTAACCATGGTGTGATGAGGATAACGATGACAAAGTTCAAGAGAACCGAAAGTTCGAGATTCGTTGAAAATTTCGGCTCGAAGAATGCAGGATAAAAATGTTGCTTTCCGGAAGTGTATTCAATTGAAATAAATCATATTTTGACATGTGGACAGAACGAAAAAAGAAAAAAAAAAAAGATAGAGAAACCGCAGGAAAACAGGCCCGTTCGAGTTGGGGTTCCAAATCTTGTCTCTTAGATGACCTTAGATACCATTTAAGCGCTACTACCAACTGAGCTTCAAGGCCGCACGATAGGAGCAAGTCAGATTTTAGTGTCTCCTTTGTTAACCATTAAGTTAATGAAATAAAGTAGAGATGAATGAGTAAATAGAGTAGATATTGGCCGCCCAACCCCCCTCCCCTTTCCGGGGGCGAGATGGACGCTACTTTCATCTGAGCTTCTCAGGCCTTATGCTGTTTTTAGCGCGAGAAGAATTCCGGAGGGTTCTTTTAATTTCCTCTAGAGGAATTTTGATGGGTAATTTGATAATAAAAAAATGCTATACTCGAGTCTTTTTTTTGCAGAAAGTGATCCTAGTCTAGGTTTGCGGAGATGACGTGTTTAAAGTTGTCTACAATCATGCCTAAAAATCAGTCTTACGAGATCACTGAATTGCGCCTAATGACCTTAATTTTTCTATCCACTGTCGCATGTATAAAGGATCGGGTTAACTCTTTAACTCCCAGACGTGATTACGTTATGAGAGGAGACAAGCTTATCAGCCAGAGAATGTCATAATGATAAAACACCTAACTCTCCCCTCTTCCTTTTCTTTCATTTTTTTTTTACCACTGTTCAAAATCCTACTAATAAAATAACCTACTAATAAAAATTACAACAATAATTAATAACTAATAATAACCATATAAAAGTACAGTAGGTAAAGGAAGGCAATAGGGGGAAACTGAATTCCCATATAAAAACTGTTCTCCAAGGCTAATATAAATTACTATACGTTGTATAAGAAAGAGGAAACTTGAGAAACAACTAAACAATAAACAAAAAGTAAAATCTGAATAAATCTCATTTCGAGATAACAAAATAAAACCATGTGCAAAGATAATTCAGTAAACGAGTTCTAAAAGAATCCAAACTGGAAGCTGACATGACAAAATTAAGTAAAGAGTTCCAATAATTGGCGAAACGGTTAAAAAATTAAAACTTAGAATAATCAGTCCTGGCTGCTCTAGGCCTTCATTTAAAGTCATGGTTATTTTTAGTTCTTGTCGGGCCCGTCAAAATCCACATATCTAGTAAAGTCCACATTAGAATAGCCATGAATTATCTTGTGTATAGTGATGATAGTGGAGAGTTGCTACTTGGATCTTGAGAATTAAAGGGTTAAGGCTCTAGAGCAGGAGTTTTAAAATGCCGATGACCAACGGTCTACCACCACATGTAAAACCTCTAACTGCTGTTTGCTTAGCCTGCAGGCTCTCTTCTTTGGATGTCGCCTTACGGTGTGGCCGCCTATTACAGCAGCGGCGGCTGCTTTTGGAAAAAGAGTTTTTGAAACCCCTGCTAGATGCAAAATGAGCGATTTAGACCTGTCACGTTCTACATAGAATATTGGCCAAAAATTATCGTAATAATTGATAAGAATGCGGACAAAAATGTTGGCCAAATTTTTTCCCTACAGATTAATAGTACCTCCCACGAGCAAATTAATAACCACTGAAACAAATGAGCCATTCAGAGTAAGTCATTACGGACACTAAAATGGTTAATTTTGAAATGAGGTTAAATCAGACCCGCTTAAGACCATGCTTCAAGACTGTTTGGATTTTTTTATAACAGGGGATGATTTGCGAAATTTTAGTTAGGGTACACCACAGAGCTTCGATTCTAAAAGCTCTTTTGTTACTTTATTTTGGCGTTGAATGATATTTCTGTCCTCATTTTGCATGGTTTTTTTTTCAATTGCCACGAAGCACGCCTTCCTAATGGGCTGCTTCTTTACCGCCCCTTTCTGTAAGGCATTTCCAATTTAGTTTGGCAGTTCTATTCATCTCTCAAAATAATGTAAAGCCAAAATACTGCGAAACTGAATCATTATTATTTTATTGTCTTCTAACTTCTCGTGGTATCGCCCGTGAGGTCAGTTCTTTGTCCAATTGCCCCCCGGGTTGTTTTACAAAAGCGAGCCGCGGGTGGCAGCCCCAGGCAGAAATAAAGGTTATAAACACGTAAAGGAGTCTGCGTCCAAAACCAGGCTTGGCTTCTAAAATTAGAAGAGTGGGTTAGAAAATCACCTCGAAAATGAAGTGTTATACGGTCAATAACCATAATAGTCAATGAGTGATCATGAAGTAATCAATCAATCAATCATACGTCGATTGATTAGTGTTCATGCGTTGGAAGAGGCTCCATCAACCATCTTTTACCTAATCTCGTACCCAGATCCTACCGAGTAACTGAGTTGTAGGAGCCGTTTGGCCGTGGAGGGCCTTGGTACGAGACTGGGGTTTATTCTCATGTAATTCTTTGAGCAAAGGATAGCCAAGTGGTAGTTATGATCATTCTCAGATCGGAATGGCGACATTATTTAGAAAGCTAGGAGAACGAAAATCTTTGGAGATGACGCTGACTGCCTGATTGCGACGGGAAACCTTTTAAAAGATGCGTTTCATCAGTACACCGAATCTAAGCTACAAGAGCCAGTTATCTCACACAAGGGAGAATTGAGTTAAGCTCAGTGTTATTCTTCCTGATCTCGTATTAAATGCCTAATGACTTGCTGAAGTCTTTTTACAGATCCAGTTTTGACCAGTATGCACTGTGCGATGATACCAGAACCGATGAAAATCTAAAAAAAACACTTTCTTACTCATGGAGTGGGAAATCAAATTTGAAAATGAAATGAATGCATCTTAAGCCAGCGCAATCGACCAATATCTAAACCTCGTACACTAAACTCAGCCATAAATTTTGTTAGAAATGGATCAATTACAAAACTTTTCTTGGGAAATCAAGACTGAGGTACATACAAAACCAATAATAATAACCACAATAATAATAATAATAATAATAATAATAATAATGATGATGATGATGATGATAACATCACTTTTAGAGCACTTAGACATTGCTGTTCGAAGCGCTGACCAAATGTCCCGGATCTAATATTTTAAGTACCAACGTACAGTGAAACATTGTGCTATTTCGTAAATTATTCCTCTTTGAGAAAACGATGACTCAAATTTCGCTGACACACCGATAATGTGTAAACAAACTTTCCTCATTAAAGCTAGGCATGTTTGCTGGTTCTTATATGATAAAGTTTCACTCTCCGTAGCAATTCGTTGTTAAGTATTAAGTTGCAAAACACTTTGAACTGCATTTTGACCTTAGGGCCAGAAATTACGGGCAATTTTTTTTCTCGAAACTGTTAATTAAGAAAATTATTTGACAGAGTATTGACATGGTCGCAAGTCAGGTGACTTAAATTTGATAAATAATAAATATACTGATTTACACATTGTCTCAAAACAAAATTACCAATTTTTGTTGTGATATATTTTCTTCGAAATTTCAGAATGAAAAAATAAAAATTCTTTATTTGTGTTGGTTGCATGCAAGTTTGTTTATTCAGATGTTTATTTCTAGGAGAAGAAAAAAGTATTCGTCTTTTCAAAAAGAGACGTTCATAAATATTATGCAAATCAATTGGCGTCGGTGCTCTCTATATAAACAAAAATTCAACATGCGAATGAATTTGACGTTGGAGCTAGTCATTCATTAAAATATGTATATGCATCTATATTGTTTAACGACGTTTTAAATATACAAGCTATTGTTTTTGAGATAGAGTCAAACCTTAGACGGCAAGCATCCTTTGCAAAACAAGTTTTCAGAAATATCTAGTTTAGGTTAAAACGTGACCGAAGCATGTAGCTGTACATTAATCAGCCAATGACAGTCTTGTTTCAGTATCACCTGCGTCAGAATCGAAACAATTCCTGTCAAATAAGTCTTTAAAATAGATTATCTTTCGCGCCACGAACGGAAAGTGACAGGTAAAAATCCATGTGAAGAATTGACGACAGTGGAGAGTTCCTTAATTTGTTAAAGTTTCTCAGTATGGTCGAAAACGAGAAACCTTGGCCCGAACCTGCTCCAGATTGGCCTTCAGCGAGAAAAACTTGGAAGTTGGCCTGGCCTTTCCACATTTATCTTTTTACAGCCCTAAACGTTTTGGTGGTGATTCGCGGCACGTACGACTTAGTCAAACGAGGAAAAACGCATTCAAGGAGGAAGGATCATCGCTTCTTGATGAATTTACTTCTTATATTGTTCGGCTTCAGTCGCACAATGTACCTGCTTTGGAATCCGTACGAATCGGATCCCGATGTTGCCAAAACAGTTCTGGTAATCTGCATCGTCACGTTTGGTATCGGAACTGCATGTATTGTATCAGCATTTAGTTTTGTGCTGTTGATCGTTCTAGAAAGCACACGCATTTCGCTCGCTCCCAGCAAGTTTCAAAACAGAGGATTTCTTCTTGGACTTTCCATCGTCAACATTCTGTACGTGATCGTGTCTGATTTAATCGTTGCCAATTTTCACGAAGCTAAAGCTATGATCATAGTTTGTCAAGTCATGTTCGCTGCCTGGGGATTTCTGATTGCGATAGGGTTTATTACAGCTGCTGCACGACTTTGGCGCAACTTGAAAGCTTCGCGTCAAACCTCTCAGTACGACCCTGTTCTGGCTGCCGAGAGTAAGAAGGTCAGAAGATTGGTCAGTTTGCTTTATTCATCGTCGTTTTGCGGAGTGTTAATGTTCTCAACCATTGTTTATTCAGCCTTTGGCGCAACAGGAGTGAATAACGAGTCTGGTTTAGTGAGGAGTTGGCCTTGGATTGCAGTGAAGACATTAATGAGAACATTAGAGGTACTGATGTGCTTGCTGATATACCTAGTCGCTTTGAAAACGAGAACTTCTAAGCCCACGAAAAATAATCAGATCAGCAATGACTCGACGCTAGAGAGGGTCAACTGCTCGACGCAAACATTTTGACTGAAGCACCCGAGACCGTGAGTTCGAACAGCTTCTTTCTCAAAGTTAACACTTTGACCACTTCACACGGGACATGACATTCATTCATACAGGGAGGAAATGATTTAATAGCACTGCGTTTGGAAAGAAATAACCTTAGGTTATTCACCCATTTAATTCTTTATGACCACAATTATATAGTCGTATATTCATGTTTTTCGCTGCTAATGTTTTTATTCCAGGCTTGATTTACAAATTACGCCGGGACTGGTCTAATCACAAAGCTTAATTTTCAATTGGTGTCGTTTTTTTTTTTACTTCGACACAATTTGCCACATCAATTAGCGAAATATGTGTAAAGAGCAACTTTTCTTAACCGAAGGCCGCTCTTTTGTCTATCCACTTTCAGCTATTATTTTCTATTTACCGATTCATATGAAAGGCACTGAAAAGCGTTCAATTTAACCATATACTTGAACATATCTTGCTTTGATTTCTCCGCCTACTTAGAAAGATAAAGGGAACGTGAACATTAAATATCACTGAATTGTAATGGATCAAATTGTAAAATTTAACACCTGCGGATTAAGTGTATTTTGGTGTGAGATGAAATGTTTAATAGAGATAATAAATAAAAGGGTTGTTAAAGCGGTTTCTTTAAGAATAGTCGAATACTGCCACCGTAATGCCGCAATGGAATTATCAAAGGAGAACAGCTGATTTCTGTAATTTCTTTTCAGTCGGCGGGTATTTGATTTCGTTCCCGGTTGGAGTTGGAGAAAGGCATTGGCATTGCGTCTTGCCAGAGAGTATGAGACAATAAATCTATCTGTCTTAAAATAACGCATTCAATATTCAATCCGGAGCCAACACACTGAACCATTCAAGTTGCGGATTGACAAAAATCAATTAGACTTTTTAGCTTATTGATCATATTTATTATTAATCTTACGAAATGATGAACAATGTATGAGGCTGTGATAAGAGCAAGAGGCGAGGAGAGACTGGAACGAATCAAGATGAGTTTGGCTCATTCCCTTCTTGTTCATAACACATATATGAATTCGATTTCCGTTTACGCTTGTGAAGGGAAAACAGATTGCATGTATCTATGTCACGGGTTTTAAGAATTTTCTTCGAAACTTCATACAGTTAAAATTTCTCGCCTTAGGGAAAAGCTCTAGGAATCAGATTGAAAGTATAGAGAATCGATCGACAATTGGGAAGTTTCAACACTTCATTTACCAAAGAAACCATGAAAGAAATTGTAAACATTTTGAAAAAATGGCAGTTTACCTCAGTAATTTTTGAATCATTTCACGTGCCTGGTGAATAATAGACGATATGAGCAGTTGATGAGCGGAAGCCTAGTTAGATCGCTCCCACACGCTAAACCCTAAACGCTTGTTCGATTCGTGCGCTTGCAGAGTCATTACATTTAGCAGATATGTGCCAAAAAGCCTCTGCGAAGGAGAGAGGGGGGAACCGAAATATATCAGGGGGGAAATCGATCTTGATCTGACCGCGCTAACTTTTTCCAACCATTTGAACATTATTCATAACAACAAACGGCGCAAGCGAGTTATTCTTGGTGATGAACGAATTTCTCCGTCACCGGAAAAGAGGCCGGTTGTTTTTTTACCACACACTTTAACATGGTTGATTTGTCACGTAAGAGCTTAATATCCAAGATGGCGTATTTTTCTTTTAAAACACATTAAGTAAAAACATTTTGCTGATCGGAACGTTTGTATACGTCACAAGAAGTGAGTTAGAATCTGGAGTTGTCAATTTACCTCTAAGTACCTCTAAACTAATTTAAACCTTAAATCAGCTCTACTGAAGTCATATCTTTGGACGCTAAGAAAAGCAAGCTTGCAAAACAAGAAATAGTGGTCAATAGTGAGAAAAAGTTCTTGAAATAGGAAAAGCTTTCCTTATCTTTTATTTATAATTATGTCGGTAGTAGAGTAATCGCATTTAATTTAATTCAAGCTAAGGAAACTAAATAATTAATTATTCCGGCGAAGAAGTTTACGAAATCTATTTGAGCGATAAAAAAATTAACAAAAAGATTTCAAGAGAATGAAAGTTTTGTAATCCTTGTTGACTTTTTTTTAAAGAAAATTTATCATTAATTGCGGAACCTTTGCAACCGACTTGGTGTTGGTCTCTTTTAGTCGTTTTCGTGGTGGTAATGAAAGCTAACCCTGTTGTTTCATTAGCCCCTAAGACTTCGAGTAACTGTCGACTTGATTGTTTTGTGTGCGCTTAGCAGTTCTTGTCCTCAGAGCAACTAAAAATACCAGTAAGCACATCAATGACTCGGATGTTCTCAACAATGTCTGGACAGCAATCCACGGCCAATTGCTTACTAGTCCAGACTCATTGTATACTCCTGTGTCGCCAAAAGCTTGGTAAACAATCGTGGAGAACATCGCCACCCCACAGAACGATGCTGCATAAAGCAAAAACACCAATCTTGTGATCTTCTTGCTCTCGGCTGCCAGTTCAGGGTCGAACTGAGCGGTTTGGCGCGAAGCCTTTAAGTTACGCCAAAGTCGTGCGCCAGCCAGAGCGAAGCCCAATGCAATCAGAAATCCCCAGATGGCGAACAATACTTGACAAACTAAAATCATTGCTTTGGCCACGGGAAAATGCGCAACGATTACGTCGGATATGATCACGTAAAGAATGTTGATAATACATACTCCGAGAAGAAAGCCTCTGTTTTGAAACTTGCTCGGCGCAAGCGAAAGACGAGTGCTTTCGAGAACGATCAACAGCACGAAACTGAATGCTGACGTAATACATGCAGTTCCGATACCAAACGTGACGATGCAGATAACCAGCTCTGATTTGGTAGCATCAGGATCTGATCCGTATGGATTTGAAAGCAAAAATGCTGCACGAGTCGTGCCGAACACTAGAAGAAACAGGTTCATAAAGAAGCGGTGGTCTTTCGTCAAAACATGTGATTTTCTTTGTTCAATCATTACGTATAAGCTGCGAAGAACCACCAGAAAATTTAAGGTGGTAAAGAGATAAACGTGAAATGGCCAGCCCCACTTCCAAACGTTTTTCGCTTCAGGCCAATTTGGAGCAGGTTCAGGCCATAATTTTTCTTCTTTAGACATACTCAACAACTCGAGGAGATAGTGTAATCCCTTTGATCTTGACTACGTTAATACCGTGCTTACATCTGACACTTCTCACGAAGTGCCTACACTTTTGAACCAAGACAGAAATTGTTTCGATTCTTACCCAGCTGCCGATGGAAAAACGTTTTTTATTGGCTAACTCTCGCCAAACGTTTCAATGGTTCTTAATCTTAGCCTCACGATATGTAGGTAATTACAGAAAAAACCGAGTCGTTTTATACAGGATGCGTCCTAAAGGCTCTGTTTCAATACAGTAACACGAATTTAAGGACAAATAAACACAAATTGTCCATTTTGAGAGCAGGGATTTGAATTTTCTTTTAAAAAAATCCTATTAAGATCTAAAAGACAATTCAAAATTTGTTTAAAGTAAATCCAGCTTTCATTTGCATAATAAAAGATAAGTTTCTTACTTTAAATAGGACAGTTTTTTTGTTTATAAAAGGATAAAATTTCCTCTTTGAAATTGCAAAAATCCAAGGTGGTGTTTTATTAGGTACAAATGACTTCACGGTTTTACACCTTTTTTTAAACTTTTTTTATGAATAATGTAGGCCAAGATATGTTATTTTACTGAAACACTAACACGAGAAAAACGTCGGAAGAAGATAAAATGTTTCCTGATTGGCCTTATCTGCATAAATAATGTACGTCATTTGTATTCCTGGCTCTGTTTCTCTATTTCTCCGATACACACAAACATATTCATTTTTCTTAAAAGAATCTGCATTTTAGATTTAGCTTGAGGGAATTAATCAACGACAAACTTATAAATAACAGCTCCAGGGGCAATTACATGGTTTCGTGTTAATTTGTGCGGGTTCGAAAGAGAAGAAAAAGAGATATATCTGGAAACATCTTTACTCTATCCGGAAGATTCTTCCATTAATAAATTCTGATTTCCGACATTTCAAAAGTATCAAACATCACTCGGAATTTGGCAGCTGCTCGACCAAGAGCTAGTTTGACAGGAAAAAAATATTTGTTGGGTCAAAGGCATTATAAAGGCTATAATTGCGATATGCGCATCACGGGAATCACGGGGAAGTTGAAATTGTGGCTTACGTTCGATATGTCTGTGCCCGATCCAAGAAAACTGGGCCTTCCATGTGCAGCAAGTCGTGGTCGTTCATCAAGTAGTTTTGTCGATTTGGTTTTTTTAAGACCTCTCAGAGGTCTTAAAAAAACCAAATCGAGGCCTCAAGTTACCCAGAACTTTCACGGATAAGCGATTACAATTACACTGTAGGATCTGCGTACAGGATTAGCCTCAGATTTACCTAAAGTTGGTACAGAGCCTTTTAAAATTCTCTATGTTCTTAAGGGGGAAAAATAATTTTTTTGTGTACCTTCCCACCCTGGTTAGCAGCAAACCTGAAGAAGCCAAAGTCGTGTCCTAGGCCCAGTTTTTCTAGCTCACGTCCAGAAAAGAAGCGGCACGATGAGTGCACATGCTCCACCTTTCGATCCATTTGAGCGTTCAGGGCTACGAATTTTCTTTTGCAAATATAAGCTGACATAGGTTTTTCCGCTGAGACGACAAACTTTTTCTCCAGGGGTTTGCCTACTGAGGAGACGATGGCAAGGAGGGCTTAAGCGATAACAGGTGCTACGAACTTCGTAGCCATGTTACGGCTGCTCAACTTCAGTGAGGTTGGTGGGTGTGAGGAATGCTTCAAAATGTATTCCGTTTTCCTGAAATATTCTCCCGAATTAGCGATAGTCAAGAGTCCAAAAGACTGCCGGCAACACACGGTTAATTTTCTAGTATCCTTATATCTCTGAATCATTGCTCGATTTTGTTAATCAGAACACTTGTTTTCTGGCTTTCAACTTTTGTAAAGCTTTCACTTTCAAATATTTAAAACTCCACTCCCAGACGCATTTGTGTCTCTCTTGTCCCTCCTGCCCCTTGCAATGTTGGTCTGTGAGATAACATCAGCACATTGGCAATAAACAAATTGGAAGCGGGGGGGGGGGG